GTTAAAGAAAAGAAATCAGGAGGACTGACCTTTGCTGCCGACTTGGGGGATGGAGAAAGGTAAATGAATGTGACGTGACTAGGGTATATATTTATAGGAATAGTTTGGGTGGTGGACAAGAAAAGGTAATTTGGTGATTGAATCAGCGTGGAAGATAATCTATTTGAAATTGAAATGGTGATTAATTATGATTAGATATATTTTTATTAGGTGGTGAGTGTTATCTATGTTTAAAAAAAAAAAAAAAGGAACATTGCAGGTAAAGTTTCGGAGGTGGAGTCATTCCAGAACTCTGTGTGCAGAGTTATCAAATATCCTTGCAGGTAAAGATTTTAAAATCTCTGTATGCAGAGTTATTAAATACCTTTGTGGGTAATATTTTAAACCCCTGTAGGCAGAGGTATTAAACCCAAAGCTCTGCATAAAAAATTCAAATTCTAATGCCTGTATTAAATTTGAATTTAAGACCTCTGCATTACATTTTATTTTTCTTGGGCAGTCGATGGATTTGGATGACATCATTAAGATATACAACCAATGTCATCGAGGAAAATCGAAGGTATAAAAAATCTTCGATTACTTTGACTTCTGGATGGGGGGCAAGGTGATTTCTAGAGATTATCTGTGATTTTAAATTTAAATTATAGATAAGGTTTGTTAAATGAGGATTTGAGGAAAATCTTTAGGCAGAGGTTAAAAGGACCTCAGGGAATAGCAAAAGAGGAGACTGAATCTCAAACTCTGTATTTCTTCTTCCATTAATGAAATTCTGATGACTCCAATTGATTGGGTCCTTTAAATTATTTTTCAGTGTTAACAGTACCAATCACTTGTCTTAAAAAAAAAAAGAGAGAAAAAACACTAAGATTAAAAGGCAATAAAGTTATCAATGAGTGTTTTTAGAATTGTATTAATATTTTCAGTATTAAAAATGATCATGACTGTTACCAAATTTAAAATAACCAAAGGTAATGATTTTTCAATAGGTTGGGGTCTCTTACAGTTTGTTTGGATAAAAATTAATAAAGGAAAAGAAAGATAGAGGAGAGGAAGGGAAAGAAGGAGAAGTGAATGAAAGGAAAAAGTTAATATTAATTTTGTTTGAATACATAAAAGTAAATGAAAGAGAAAGATAATATTTTTATTTAATTTCATGATTTAAAGAAAAATAAAATAAAGAAAATATTTAAAATTTACAAATACAATAATAATTGAAATAAAATATGTTTTTATATTTAATTTTTAAAAAA